TCAGTGCGAGATGCGCTGTCACTCAACTCCACGTGTATATGAGACAACGTCAACAATGATACTTACGAACATTTAGAGTTATCGAGATATCGAGCTTAAGTTGCCATTGATTTCGCACTTAACCGAAACAGTGAATTATGTAAACTTCCATCGAAAATCTGTAAAACTACCCTTATTCATTGCTTTAACAAGAGCTCTTAATAACACTTAATCTCTAATTAAAAAATATTGAGCTCACAACACTTCTAAGTGTATGCGTACATTCGAGGCACATAATGAAGATATATTTTGAGCGACCACAACTCTCAGTTTAAGACATGTGTGCAGCATTATAAGGGCTCAAAAGATAGAGGAGACGCCCCGCTTAGCTTAGAGTGCTTATCGCGATCGTACTTAGGTTCATAAGTATCATTTCGTTTTGGGTTGTCTCATATGGCATCTCATTAGATAATAAAACATTTTGGCCAATAAGACCGAGCCTTAGGCTCGGTCTTATATCTGCCCACAATAGCGGACTTCCAACCCGGTGTTATAGACAGGTGGCTCGTGTCGGCGGTGTGTGCTGCTGTGGAATATAGTTGAGATGAGCGGGATTTGTGTATCCCAAGACCGTGCCACACAACGTCCCAGTGGGACGAGAAGGGGTGTCAACCCTACAGGTCATCCCAATATCCCGCGAACTAGATCGCTGATTGGTCCATCCCTCTTTTGGGACGATATAAGACTGAGCCTTACCGGTACGACAACGGGATGAGACCTATTAATAATGCTACGTTGGTGCCGATGCAACGCTGATCTCGGTGGCAACATTGCATGACTGTGAGTTAAATTGCGTTAATAGTACATTTTAGTGGCTGCTTTCAGGATACGTGTACTCGAAAATGTGTTTTTGCCGTCGTGAAGGAGCACACCAATCGATGGGGTCAATCATCAATGACCTACACTGTATTTCGATCATAGTGAGGCTTCTAAACGGTCCAATGCAGACCACTGATCACGAACTTCGAATGATTATGGCAAGAGACGCCGCAGAGTGAAGGTCGTTGCAGTTGCCCTTTTCCAATGCCCCTGTACCGTAAGCCGGAACAACCATTCTGTCGAAAGGACGAGATCGGAGGGCAAAAGTGTGAGCACCACGCTGCGGACATCATGTACGCGTCGACCAACTACAAAATATTCCCAAAGTGATGGACAAAAAGTAGTAATCCGAGTCGACACAAATATCAATTTAGGTAATATAAAGCCAAATGTCAACTCGGGGTTGTCGCGGTCTTCCTCTAATCGGGGTCGTGAGTATCTTGGGCCCGACGTAGGAGGTAGTAGTATTAGCGACACTACTGCGATAGTAATGTAAAAGTTGATATATTCTTGTGTTACTTGTTAGAAGGAAATCCACGACTGACTTCCTCATTTCACCTCGCTAAGAGTTTTTAGAGCTTCTTACCTTTTAGTAGATCCCTCGTGCGTGGCGGTCCAGCTCCGATTCCCGCCACGACCAGCTGCTTCGCGACTTCAAACTTGGAACGTCACTGTCTCGGCCGCAGGTCCCGCTTTCTTGGACGTGGTCCGGAGAGTCTGGAGTGAGTAGACCTTCTGCAGGCAGTCAGCCAGCATCGTTAATACACCGTCTGACTGTACACCGTGTCAATTCTCCCCGACTGACGCTCGGTGACCTCGCCGAGCCACATCGCCCGGAGCCTGTCGCACGGTGTCTTCCACGGTCGGATCTGGAACGTTCCCACGTGACGTTCCTGTGGTGTAGTGATTTCTCCGTGGTTGCGGATTATCACCCGTCGACAAAGACGTGACACCGCCCAAGTTGTTCAAGCGACGAGCCCCCGGTCGGGTGATGTACGGAGACGCCAAGGTGCAAGGGACTCGACGGCGTCACCTCCGAGTTTTCAACAAATATCGGATACGGCCCTATGTCACTGAATCCAGGCTGTCCTTATTATTAATAATGGACTGGCCGGATTTGCATTCAGCGGACACATAGCGGTACGAACCCTCAGTGGCGGTTGGGATGA